AATAATAATAATAATAATAATAATAATAGTAGTTATCAGATTTATGTAATAATAATAATAATAATAACATTATTATTATTAGTAGTAGAAGTAGTAGTAATTTCTATGTAAAATATAATTATGAATGTAAAAAATGTGAAATATAATTCTGTAATACATATATATATATACAGTGGGTACGGAAAGTATTCTGACCCCCTTAAATTTTTCACTCTTTGTTATATTGCAGCCATTTGCTAAAATCAAAAGAGTGAAAAATTTAAGGGGGTCTGAATACTTTCCGTACCCACTGTATATATATATATTCCTAATTATATTTACATTAATATAATAGTTAATAAAAATATTATTAATATTATTAAGAAGTGTATTACAATTTGTGAAAATGTCCTATAAATTAATGATCAGTAATAAATATAATTAATCAAATATATATTCATAATTATATTAATATTATAATTATATTCATAATTATTCATAATTATATTATTATATGATATAATATAATATATAATATATGGCATAAATGGCCAACAACCTAGTTTACCTAGTTTAACTTTTTTTTTCCTTCTGGCAATACATCAGTAAACACACTCATTAACAGGTACACACATAGATCAAGCCACACTTTGGGACTGAGCGACGAGGTCAATGATCGCAAGACCCGAACGGAGTTTACGAACTTTTTAATGTTTATGTTAGCCATATACTTAAAGCCAAACTGGTTTCCTATATGGGCTGTCAAAGCATAAAAATCATTAAAATGATTGTGTTGCCGTTATGGCTGTCATTCAGAATAGAAAAGCTCTCCTCTATCTCACGGCTCGATGATTTTGCCGTGATATAATATTTTAAAGCGCCCGGCACGCGTCATTTAGCTTGGCCTCAAACAGTGCGTGTGGCCAGCATAAATTCAAACTGATTTTAAACGTTAAAACCCACAACTGTGAAGGAGACTTCCTGCATAATTGCATTTCGCCAATGTTCTCAATTCAGTGCCCGCTTCATCTTTCAATCACAATAGAACGGTTCGAAAAAGATAGCCTGCTTTTATCAGAACGATGACATTTTGATTCATTCAGTCGCCGCAAAAAATGGCAGTGGAAAATCAATCACATGAAGCCTCGGACAGATCCCTGTCCCTGAGATTGATGGACAGGTACCTTAATCTCCCATCTGGCATAGGGCTGCTCGCTGGCCGTGAAGTCCATTGTGTCGATGGCCATGTTGCCGAGCCTCGGGACGGAGCAGTCCACCGCTTTAGAGCTCAGGAAGGACGCTTTGGTTCTCCCTTGCTCTTCAGGGATCCAAATTCCATTCATGTGCTAAAAAAACATCAACAAATATTAATGGCTTTTTTCTTAAAGGGACAACCAAATAAATAACAATAAATAACATTTTAATAGTGTAGAAATAATATACTTTAAAAGAACTGAATGTAATGTGTTTGAACACTTAATTGTTATTTACAATTAAATGTAAACGTATTAGCAAATTTATAATGATGAAGTTGCAATTTACTACATTGGCTTTAAATAGCTTTAAATTTAATATCAAATAATGCACTACAGTAAAAAAAAATTATAATCAAGTACTTGTGCTTTAGTATGTCAATCAGCACATCAAAATAAGTGAACTTGAAAGATTATTAAAACAAAATTATTTAAAATGTAGACCTACTGTAAAATAAAACTTTTAATTTGACATTGACAAAGTGCTTTTTTTTTTTTTAATACTTAAGCATGTTGAGAAACTCTGAACTATCTTTAAGGACACTTCAGTGGATTTTATTTCATTAATATTATATTATCTGTATGTACAAATGTTTTAAATATATTTTTAACATTTGAAGTTCACTACAAGTGCGCATTCAGTACACATTTTTATTTATTTTATTTTTTTTTACAAGTGCAGGCCACCCAGAAATGTTTTACCTCAAGCAGAGAATTCTGTCAATTTACTCACATTCATGTCATTCCAAACCTGTGACTTTGTTTCTTCAGTGTAACACAAAGTTAGGTATTTTGAATAATGTTCTGGCCGCTCTTTTCCACATAATGAAAGTGAATGGAAGTCATACAGGTTTGGAGCAACATTAGAGTAAGTAAATGGTTCATTTTAAATTGTAGGTGAACTTTTTCTTTAAATTCAATCCTCATTTATCAGAAGATATGCTAAAACTTTAGGATGGACATATGTGCTTCAGTTGTTCAAGACTGTTTGAGGTCAAATTCAATTAGAGCAATCGTCACCCCTGGCCGTTCATTCCTTGACAAAAACAGAAACAGCTAGAATAATGAACGTCAAACCAATTTGCTCAAATGCGATGACCTCACACAGCAGGCCGAACACCCCCTGGGAAAAGACGGCGAGAAAAGTGGGCGGTTCGGAAATATATGAGCAGTGGAATTCAAATGAGAGAAATAAAAATGCAGGGAACATATTCAGATTTACATGGTGGGATTCTTGTGGGTTTTTTTGTTAGCTATATTTGCTTTTTAACCATGATGTTTTGAGGTCCCAAAGATCCCCAAACTGTATTTGTAAAAAAATAACAATATTCATTTCAAAATTAACCTTTGGTTCACCATCAAAGGAATTTAACATGTTCCTCTTATTCAAAACCAACTACGAAGATGTAATTGAAGTCAAAGAGAAAGGCAGACATGAACTTTTCATACATTTAGAAGTATTAACCTGTTCCAGGTTAATAAAGGTATGTTTTTGAGCTATTCAAAAGGCTCTAGGGTCTGTTAGACCATGAGGGTTAAACCCAGCCCTGCAGGGCATCGATTTGACATCATGAAATTAACTTTGAGCCCAAAACTTTTAAGTAAAACAGACAATTTAATAAAGGAGTCACCAGCCAATTATAAATCCTCAGATAATTACAGCACATTATATGTGTTTGCATGTTGTTTACTGGTCTTATTGCATGGGGTTTTCTTTGAATGTGCTCTGCTGTGTTGACTGATTACTGATTTTATTGCTTTGATTAACTCCTCAGATGTCCTCATGCCTTTCTCCCCCTCATTCTTGTAATTAAATATACAAACAGATGGCAAGCAGGTATTAAAAAAAAAGCCATGCTAAGATTCATAAAGACTCCCTGATGAAATATTAAAGAAGACTGGTTTAGAGTCAAACGTGATCTTAGCAACGCAAAAATCAATTGCAGTTAAAGATAAATAGATATAACATATACAGTATATATAAATACAATTTTTAATATTTTTTTTGTTTTATTTTGTTTATTATAACGGCTAAGATCATTTTCCATATATATACATATACATATATGTATGTATGTATAGTTATTTAATAATTAGCAAATATTAAATAGTCTCATAATGTATGAGTATTTATTATTTTCTAATTATTAAATAACATAAAATAATTATTTTAATATTAAATTATTCCAATTATTAAATTATTAAAATATTACAAGTTTGATCAAATAATACATAATTTCTCTCTCATATATAAGTTATATTTTATTTATTATTATATATTTATAATTTACATTACATATTTTATTCATTACTATAATTTCTTTGTTTTATTAAATACAAATAATATACAGAGAGAGAGCGAGTGAGAGAGAGACAGATATTTTATAATTAAAATACTAATATTTTAATTGTAGTTATTTGTTATATATAGTGCATTATAAAGTAAATAATTATTATATTATTAAAATATTAGAATTAATAAATTATATAATTATTTAATACTAAATGTTTAAAAAAATACAAAATATTTTCTCTTTATAATTTGCCTAATGAACACAAGTGACATAATTTCGTGTCTCACCTTCAGTCTGATCACAAGACACGCTAGGTCAGGTGAGTCAATGAAACCCAGCCCGAAAACCCTCACGCTGTCACAGCCGAACTCACGTACGTCACACAAACCGCCGTTCTCCAGATCGGTGATTTCTATTGGCTGACCTGAGGAAACCAAAGAAACAGACCATTTACAGCACATAATTTGAATAAAAGTATACATTTTAGGGGTTTGTTCAAATACACTAGTTGTGGCTGCCATAGCAACTTCAAGTCTCTAGAGGCGTGGCCAATCAGAGGGGTGTGGCCTGTCAGAGGGGCGTGGCCTTGACACTGCAGTTTTACTGCTAAACACAACCAAACCCACACAAATAAATACACACACTTGCTTGGTAGAAAGCAATTTGGGGAGTAAATGGAAAAAGTACAGACTTGTGTGGGTCACAAGGTCAAAACCAATGTGTTCTTTATCATTCAACTCAACAACCTCATACAAAACCTCATAGAAAAAGCCTTTCAGTCGAATGAGCCTGCAAAAATGACAGTCTGCCGTCTACTCTTTGTTGATTAATTGAAAAGACACTATGAGAGTCTTGTTAAACCCGAAAACTCCATTGTACATTTATGTGAAGTCTTTAATAATGCGCACTGTCGAAAATGCCCCGTCCTTTCTGAAAACCACCAGTGAATAAAGTTTACGAGACTCAAATTGAAAAATGCAACACCGGCGGTTTGAAAGACGCAGTCACAGCAAACGAAAGTCGTTTCAAAGTAAATTGCTGCTAACAAACAAACAAACGAAACAATCCCGGCTTTAAGCTATACATCAGACTGCTGAATTCTGACCTTGCCAGTCTGCGCTTGCCATTAAACTGGGAACAGATTCCTTCGGCAACATTACGGTATAATTAGAGCTGGGGAAAATAACGTTCTCCATAACTGAGCTTCTTGAATAATGCAAACGAGTAAATACGAGCTTGTTTGGGCGTCTCTCAGGCCTTATAAAACACAACAACACTTAATATAGTTTCAGCGACAGGCTGAAATGACTGTACTGTGGCTGCATTATGCTTGATTAATGCGATTATCGCTCCCATCTCGGCTCATTTCAAATCAGTGTTTTTATTACCAGAGCATAACCTTATGTTCGGATCTCCGCAGGGTGGAAGTCTATTTAAATCACATATCTGCGACGCAAACAAAAATGGATGTACTGGGATGGGATGCTAAACTATAAGGCAGAAGTGTAGTAAATATATAAAAATGGAGAAGGAAAACAATGAGAGATATCAGAGAAAACGGTCCTTGGAGGAGAACAATTAAGCACAGAGTGAGTGCTAATGAATTTTAGCCTCATCAAAGAACCTCCTCCAGATGGTCTCATTTTGTGTAATTTTACAATGGGTAAAAAAGTGATAATAAAATAATTACCAAAAAAATAAAAAATCGCCCCCCCAACACTGTTTAGGAAAGACATACTACCATCAGAGACCATTAAGTTTTTATTATTATTATTATTATTTTTAAAGAGAAATGGAAGACACATTTGTGAGTCATGCAATGAAAGTACCACATCTGATAAAGAAAATCAGCTATTAAATGTTTTGTTAGCTTAAAAAAATAAAAAATAATATATTTAAAAAAATATTAAAAGTATTATTTGATGCTGTATTTTTCATGAACCTTTTAAAGGAGTTTATTTTTTGCATGCATATTTGCATATTTAATTTTTTATTTATCAACATATAGCCTGTCATATATATATATTCCATTCAAGTATTTCTAAAAATTTGTAAGGACAAACTATAATATAAATATATTATATAGATGCAATTTATTAACATTTAATGGCATTATCCCATAAACGGTTTAAAACCATATAGAAGTTTACTTTAAACAACTACCTTTCCAAAATTTGCATATTTTTTATGCATTTATCTACATATAGCCTGCAATATAAATTATATCAATATATAAAAAAAAAAAAGTATAATTATAAACTATAATATATACTGTATATGGCATATTATATCGTATCATATAATGTTTAAAATTATATAGAAATTTACTTTATCTATTTCCAAAATGCACAAGGCCTGTTTCCCCATTTCAATGATTCTTGTTACCTCCGACTCAAACAATTAGTATGTTATGTAACATCATGTGAAAATCAATTAGCAAACAATTAAAATGATATTAGCTGTTGAACCAAAGACCACTATGGCTTCAAAACAAGCCACAAAAACATGGACCTTAAAAAAACCCACACATATACCTTCCTAATCGCCTTGGAGATCAGAAATTTCCAGCTCAGCAGGTCAGTGAGGTGATTTTCCCATGATTCACTCTGCTCCCGAGCTCCTAAAATGCAGATCTGAACCAGACAAGCCTCAAGCACTGACGCAGTGTACACACACACATACACACTCTCACACACTGTCCCTGACCGGCCAGGAAGAGAGCGAGAGAGATATTCAGGAGTTTTTAATCTCTGCCACAAGGGCGAATGCTGGTGCTTTATGTTTGAAGAGAAATGATAAATGAGGAGCGATGGGATGACTCACTGAACCTGCTCTATTAAAAAAAAAGATGAATCTAAGAAGAGTCCTTTCTACAGAACGTGACCCCTGCCTCACAGCTGAATGAAGGCAGAAGTGAGGTTTTTCAGATTGTTCCACTATTGAATGAAACCCAAATATGCACAGGTATTGAATCTGGTCTGATTGCCTTTTCTATGGACTTGATTTTCACTCTGCCTGGAATTATGGGAAATAAAAAGTAGTAGAGCTTCGTTCCGGACACCCTTCATGTTGGCAGTAATAGCATAAAATGTGCCACAAGATTGAGGAGAACATGTGATGTGCAGTTTTCTGGCCTGTGCGAAAATTGAAATTGAATCCCTTTGGTTCCTTCTCCCTCTCATTTTCAAATATTGAGATGAATCTAATGAACACACAGACTGAAAATGTAGCCAGGATGCACTATTTGTATATTGCAGGAATCATTCAGACAAAATAAAAATTCTGTCATTATTTACTCACCCTCATGTTATTCCAAACTCGTATGATGTTATTTTGTTGTTCATCAAGCTTGAAAGATCACTTTGAGCTCTCATTGCACAACGAGAAGAGCTGCATAATCTTCAAAATATAGCTTATTCTGTTTCACATGCAGAAAAAAAAATGACAACATGCAGTTGTGGAATGACATGAGAGTAAATAATGACAGAACAGAAGTGTGATTTTGGGGTGCACTGTTTCTTTAAGAGGGTCATGGGGGTGTATTAGTCCTGTTATACCATTCATATTTCTAATTTTTGATTTTATTAATATTCTATTTTTTACATTATTGCCGTTTTTATTTGTAGTATAATAAAGAAAAGAACAAAATTCGAAGTCACATTGTCCAAATGAGCACCACGGTTCTGTGTATTAGCTAGAGCACATCTGTTAACTACTAAAGTTACTTAAGGACACTAGAAAAAGTTGTCATCTTGTAATAAAATGGTTATTAATTCAACTCTCTGTAAAAAGTATCTTAAATTTTGGCCATCCAATCAAATAACGAGTGATGAATAGGTAACAGCAGTAATTATTTTCAGTTCATTCATCAATCTGGAAATGAATGGTCAGATTGAGCACAGTGCATTGTGGGATACAGTGCATTTACTCCACTCTTTGGCTAATGTAGTAGGTCACCCAGACAAAAAAATCTGCATACAGTACACAGTATACATGCTACATTCAGCAGAAATAAATGGTGCGTGTTAGCATGCTAACATGTTTACAAATCATGAGGCCAAATGTGGACACAAACAAAGTGAAGCCCTGCAAAAATCCACATTTGACTAGATGAAATGGAAATAAAGTCAACTGAAAATGCTTAGGCATAAACGTGTCATGGGCTTCCGAAAAAATAAAAAAAAATAATGGATGGCGCTCCCAGATGTGGAAGAGGCATCAGCTGATGATCAGTTGGGCAATTAAGCAGATTTATCTAGCCGTCCTCCCTGTGCTACCTTGCACGTTGATCCTAGCGTGGTTACCATAAATCAGAGCTCGCTCTAGGAGAGGTTGAAAAATGTCAGTCTGTGATAAACAGCCCTCTCTAGCGCTCCTAATCTGCTCGCTAATTTGTGTTAAAACTCCCATTTCGTCACCAAGCCAGCCCCAGGGAGCATGCGAAAAACGTCGAGGGAGATAGCGGCTTAGCAAAGATCCCAATGCTAATCAGAGAGCCGGTATGGGCGTCTGGCACAAAGCCAGACGTTAGCAAACCTGCAGAACAATATCTCATTGATATGAAGGTTGGCTGGGAAAGCTAATGGCACTTCTGAGACTCTCCGCTATTGCCAGAAACAATCAGTCGATAAACACGCTCATTGACTTTGCCGTTAGAAAAGGGGTTCCATGCAACAATTCAAATAATTCACACAATCAATAAAAAACACACTTGCTCAATCAAACGCCATCTGCGGTTTCTTTTGAAGACATGCTTGAGGGAGTTGGAAATTGTTCTTTGCTGAGTGTAAGGACAAGGAATATAGAACAACAGCATCCAAAGCAAAATATAATTAAAAGGAACTGCGTACAACAGACAACAAGACACTAAAAATACATACTTGGTGAAAAGAGCTGGCACAGGAAAAAAATGTATCTAATGCCACAGAAATGCTCTGGCACCTTGGCCTCCATCTGGTAATAGCAGCTGTAGTGAACTCTGTACTTGTGCCAAAGTACAGGATTTTAATTACACACATTTGGCCTAAAGAGCAGTGAAAGTACTGACCCATAGAGAGACAACATCACATCACACTAGACAGTCATCTACTTACAGACCACTGCCTGCAAACACAATGATAAATTGCTGAATTTGTAACACCAAATGCTATCATGCAATTCACATTTCTGGAGCCCTAGAGTTATCTATAGAGGAAATAAAAATCATAATTTCCTTCAAAATGTGATGTACTGCATACATTGCATCCTCTTTATCTTCAAGAGCAGGAAGTGATGTGGCCTTTAAACAGGAAGTGATATTGCAAGGATTTGGAAACTTCTCCAGAGGTTCTCCTGTTCTTCTAAGAAAAAAGTACCCTAATATTCTCACTGGAGTCTTAACAATCTCACAGATTTGTGCTCATATCTACCGAGATACTAAATACTAAAGACTATCCAAGTCACAGATCTCAATATGAAGTTCACCCCCCAAGACCGAAGTACTTAAGATATACTACATTTGACTTTTGAATTTATAGCTTTGCACTCTTAATGTAAGTCAACAATTGTCTCATTTGTCTTTCAACTTTAGGAGAAATATCTTAGATACTTAAAATAGACATAACAAAGTCACCTGAGCTATGAATGAACAACCTCTGATCAATAAATCTCCTCTTGGACCACACCCTTTGTAGAAAACTTTCAAATGTTAAATAAAGGACTGATGGATGAGACACCATCATATCTAGAGTGAGTGATAACAAAGGTAGACATTCCCCAGCCATCCGAGCAAAGCCTCAAAGACAACTCTGATCCACAACTGTGTTCCCTATTCAAACCCCCTGCAGATACGTCACACAAAAAATGTTGCAGTACCCCATATGGCTGCTTATTGATAGCTATTCTGCCATAAGCTCAGCCCAGGGTGTTTCTGATAATCAAGGATCCCTGGGGACCACATTTGAAGCAACAGACGGATGTCAGAATGATCACTTACTGATAGTAAGACTGCAGTCGTAAAAGCTGTAGCCTGGATAACACTGACATCCCCACTCTACACATTGCCCATTCAAATTACAGAAGTTCGGACAACGCAGGGCTGTTGCGATATCCTCCAACGGTCTGGAAGCTTCCTGAGAACGTTGGGTCCGGTTCTCCAACCACTTCCGTTCACATTCGTTCTCCAGGAAGGGTACAAGGGCGTCCTCCCAGGCTAAATCATCTTTCAACTGAAGATCCAGGATGCAGAGATCCACAGCTTCTTCCAGGCGCCGGCCCAGCAGACTCTTGCATACTATGCCCACGGTTGAGTTCGCCAAGGCTAGTTGGCAGACCTCCAAAGCTTTGGCAGAAGTGAGGCCACTAGGTGTCGGCCAGGAAGGGTGGGCAGCTGGACGGCTGGAAGAGCGGTGGTCATCTGGAAAGAAGTAGGCAAAACTTTCGAGGTCGGTCTGGCTTAGGGCCTGGACAGTGTAAACGGGCAGAAAGTCAAGGGTTTGTCTCTTAGGTCTTCCACCTGAGCTTGGTAAGGGCACCTTAGATTCATTCAAGCGTGGAGCGTCAACTTTAAATAATGAGTCCAGTTCTAACTCCTCTACAGAAGGAGAGTTCTCTGCCAGACCTTGGGACACCTGAGACTTTGGTTTAACACCTAATTCTGACACTTCAGCCAACGTCTCCCGCTTCTGGATGTTACGGGTGGAGACAGGTTTAACGGTGTGCTCGGCAGTGGCATCTTTGAAGGGGAACAGGGACGTGTAATCTGTGTCGTCGTGAGATAGGCAGCGAGAGATGGGAGACGGGTTTAATTGGCCTTCGGAGGCGTGTGCTGAATGGAGGGACAGGCTATATCCCTTTTGACAAGTACAGAAATTCCACTTTATCTTCTCATCCACGGCAGGTGGCGTGCTGTCAAACAGGCTCTCCCCAGGCGTGATCCTGACACGGAGAAATAAAACAAAAATATGACTATCTCAAATCAGCCTTTGAATTAAGCCCTCAAGCACTACGTCAAGAGAGGATTTAGAGTTCGAGAAAGGTTAGCCCATTAGATTAGAGACTTTCCTCTGCTTTAATTATATTTGACATTAAAACGAGCAAATCAAGGTTAAATGGTGATGCAAACTCTAATCTGAAACCAAACTGCTATCCAAGTCTCCCATCTACTCCCACTTGTTTAGCATCTTTTGGACGTTTTCAGCTTGTAAGTGTGAGACAATTTTTGTACATATATCTGCACATTTTTGTGTCTTTCATAGTTCTTACCTGCATTATAGCTCCATATTTCTGACCAGGACCGTCAGTTAAATCCACCTTTGAGCAGGGCTCTTCAGCTCCAGTCCTGGAGGGCCAGTGTCCTTCGAGTTTAACTCTAACCTTCACCAGGCACACCCAAACAAGCTAATTAAGGTGTTCAGAATTACTTGCAAATTACAGAAAGGTGGGTTAAACTGGGATTGGTACTAAAGTCTGCAGGACACTAGCACTACAGGGCTGGAGTTGAAGAGCCTCGCCTTAGACGACCTTAGTGGCGCACCTCACGCCAGATTTGGTTCTGACTAGATTTATTACCCAGCTTTACCTCAACAGCCCAGTTAAGTACCATATATCGTTTCTAGTGAAAATATAGACTGTATGGATGTTGAAAAAGCATCTCTCACCTCCAGCCCTGAATGAATTCCTCTAGGTCTTTGTCACGGTAGCTTGTGCCTGCAGGATGATGGAGGTCATTGTGGCTGTTCCGGTCAAATAACCCGCACAGGCCTCTGGTGGCGTTAAAGTCCTGACTTGGAGCCCTGACGGACAGACTCATTCCCCAATCACTGATGTCTGCTCGCACAAACGCCCCTGAGGCAAAAACGATCTGCAGGGGTCAAACGAAAATGACCTAAATTCTTACATTTTTAACGTTAAACATTAAACCAAAATCATCAAAATCTGGTCATGCTGACCCTTAAATATGCAAGGCAAACGTTTAGATAGTGTCAAGTACAGATTTTTATTCAAATAAAATGAAAAAGATGATAAAAAAAAGATGGAGAAAAATTCTACAAAGATGAAAACCTGTTTATTTATATTTCTTATTAATATATTTATATTGATCTACTTTTTATATTTTACAAAAATATAATTTATAATTAATAAATGTATTATTAATTTATATATAAAATATATTTGTCTTTCAATGTCTGTCCATGCATGAACTGGGTCTATCCAACATCTGAAATCATACTTCATTAATTAAACTTCAGTTTACCCCAACTTCAATCATAAACTAAATTCACATGTTAGTAAAAGATCCCATTTCCCCGCCAGCTGGATGTGAGGACATTAGTGGCAATTTGTCAAGAGTCTACATCAGAATATTACAAATCTAGATAAATTTAGCCATCACAAAACACTTCCTCATTCAAAGTGTGTCACAGTGCAACAATGACAACATCTGCTGCACTGACAGACCGATGGTCTGTGGAGACCGAGCGCTTTAAAATCTTTTTGCAGGGAAAAAAAGTATCTTTTCTAAACAGTTGAGATCTGTGTTTACTTTTCAGACAATTTCACCAAGAAATTGAAACTTGAACTGCAAACCTTTCGCAGTGAGCATGACTGAGATTTCCTGAGTTTGCATGTCAATGAGATATCATATGGTCTATTATGTATTTAGTCAAATCTAAGCAGTGTTGGGGAAAGTTACTTTTAAAAATAATGCATTACGATATTGCATTACACCATGAAAAAGTAACTAATTGCATTAGCTACTGTTTATGGAGAGTAATTTATTACGTTTCTTTTGAGTTACTTTTTGTCACTTGGGCTGGGCTTGCTTGTTTGTTTTTTAATAACAAAAAACACAAAAGTTATATTTTTGGCCACTGTAAGGGCCCTCTCACACCAAAAGTGAAATTAATGAGCCTCAGTCTGAAGGAAGTGCCTCTGCATCTCACTCCCAATTTCTCTCAACACGGGGACAGGAGAGGTGTGAGTGAATGAATGTGGAAAAAAGTACCTTTTGTTACTTATTTGAAAAAATTACTCAGATATTTCATTGTAAATTTAAAAGTAATGTGTTACTTTACTAGTTACTTGGAAAAGTAATCTGATTACTTAACTCATGTTACTTGTGATCCGTTACCCCAACACTGACTGAATTGCAATAGTTTTTTTTCAGATGTGAAACACGGTCTTTCCATGATTAGATTGTTTTGTCTAAATTTTCACTGCAGCATAAAATAGTCTACAAATAATAATAATTATTATTAGCTACCACAGCACAAGAATGTAACCGTACCGTGACTTTCTTCCCTTGATGCGTCTCGTGGATCCTAATCTGATTGGTCACGGATGGTCCCAAGGCCTTGACGGACAAGTGTGGGCGTGTTTCCTGCAGCTGCCCATTGCACATGTCAAAGGTCACAACCTCATTGCCCTCTCGAGCCGCCACTCCGCAGGTACACGCCACAGAGTAATGCCGGCTCCCACAATCCCACTGCCTTGTGTGGACCTCAAACACACGCTTTGTGCTCTTATAGAGCAAAAACGTGCCCGTTTGCTGGTTCTCGTAGCGCCTGAGTGGAACAGGGTTATAGTAATGTATGTATTAATGATTAATACATGAATTAAATGTAATTAATTAACAGAACAATTAATATTTAACTTTGCAGATACACAGACAGAGATTCACTGACTGATAGTTATCTTGTTTCTTTTCCGAGTTCTGTTTTGCTGTGCTAAAAAAAGTCATGGAGATTAAAACAAATGAAATTCAGACACCTCTGTGTGCACTCTTTAAACAACCTTTAAAGACTAGACAGCTGAAAACAACCTCCCAGAGGACTACTTGAACTTAATAGCAAATTGGAGGAGAGGCAGGAAGAAAGAGTCTATTTAAAAAGACCTGTACGATAAAACAAGAGCAAGAAATTGAGGGAGAGAAACCGAGGCAGTAATTTTCATAGGACAGTTTCAGCATCATTTACTTTGATGGTGACCGTGACACTTTGCGGTTATTGCTCTGTGCGTTGGCATTGCTGTAAACACACATTGCTCAATACATCCCGCTATAGTGTGTGTTTAAATCCATATCTATTGTCCATTCGGGCCATTTGTACTGGAGGAAACTGTGGCACAGAGCCGTCGTCTGTCAAGGACATATCCGCTAATGAGGACAGTTCCCGTACACTTTCATGAAGTCCTTCTGAGCCAAATTCAAAGAGTACAAGTGATAAATCTGCGCCACACAAATCTGAAATCCAAAGTGACCTTTTCGTTTCTGCCTCATTACCTGAAAATGTACCACTTGAGCATCTGTCATGTAAAAGTCACATAACTTATGTTGAAATAATCACAGGCGATCTAGAACATTCAAATTGTCCTTTGCAAATGCCAAAGAAAGAAAGAAAAAGGCTTCAGTAAATTCATTGTGCTACTTGGGTATAGTGTTGCTTTCGTCAACGAAAATTAGGACTAAATATCGTCGTCAACGAACCTCGTGCTACTGCAACAAAATTACCCAGCTGTAAAATCAAAACTTTGTTTAATTACCATTATAACTAGCTATCTCACAATGTTTACATATGAATAAAAGCCTACATTAAAATCTGTCATATAAATTGGTCTCTTCATTAGAAATTAGCCTACTGATTGCCACCATTGATAGACACATTTCTTTTTATAATATTAAAAATATCTGTATGACATTATATTCTGCAGTTCTTCCCTGTTGTACCGAATATCTATACTTTTCAAATTATCATATCGAAGTTAGAAATTCAAATATTGTGACAAAATTAATTTTGTAGGGTGCCACAAATTTGTTAAAATTTCCAAAGGGTGCCGCGACTAAAGAAAGGTTGGGAAACACTGATTTAGAAGATGAAAACCAAACAAAGTTAAGTCTGACACAGAGAAAGGGACCGATGGCCGGCCAGCCGGGGTTCGTCTTTATTTAAATTTATGTGTGTGTACTTCTAACATGTTTGGTTGGTAAAATAAATGTTGTAAATTCAAATCAGAGCGTCTTCCGTGTCTGGAATGGATGTATTCTTGAGTCTATAAGGTAACAATAATATAATAAGATAATCTTGTTTGAAATGGGTTTGGCTAAAATAAAATTTTGGTTTCGTCTATACTACTAGGTACTTATACTATATTGACTGGGTTAAATAGAATTGCATTTCTAAAAAGAGACTAAAATACAATTTTCATTGACTAAAACTAGACTAAATGTCATCAGTTTTCGTCGACTAAAACTAGACTAAAATGCTCAGACTTTTAGTTGACTAAAACTTGACTAAATGTCATCAGTTTTGACTAGTTTTCATCAGTTTTGACTTGACTAGACTAAAAAGAGTATGAACGTGACTAAAACTAATAAAAACTAAAATGACAGTTTCACACATGGACTAGACTAAAACTAAAATTAAAACAGGCCGCCAAAAACAACACTACTTGGGAATCAAACCCACATCCTTGGCATTGTTAGTTGTTTGCACAATGCTTTACCAGTTGAGCTACAAAAAAAAAAAAAAATTCCCCAAAGAGCTCTTTGTCTACATATTGTACCTGCCATCAAATCAAATTTAGGAGTACAAATGATAGATCTGTGCCACACAAATCTGAAATCCAAAGTGACCTTTACATTTGTGTCTCATTACCTGAAATTGTACCATTTGAGCATCCGTCATGTAAAAGTCTCGCAACTTAAGTCACACTTCTACACTCTAAAAAAGATGGTTCTTTAAAGGATTTTTTTAATTATTACTTGGGTTTATGTATAAACATACTCAGTCACAAAAAATATTAAACTATCCCATGACTTTATATCACTTTTTTTCTTTTTAAGATTGTGAAGGGCTCACATACTGTCCATTTGTGAATGTCAATTGTCATTCATTAATGTATTCAGCTAATAACTGTTGTTAGAGCACTGACAACGTTGCATGTTAATAAAAACATAATTCACACAACATGCTGTTGTTGTTGTTTTAATGTAATATCCCTAACCGAGGCTACACTCTAAGATGCCTCATTACTGATTTTCTGGAGCTCAGCCATCCAACACAGACTGTCAACACACTCTCAACAGGTAAATTATTTCTTTCTTAAAATGTCTATAAATTATAACTCCCTATAAAAAAGGTTATATTTAGCACTAAAAAGGGTTCTGCTATTGTTACAAGCCGAAGAACCCTTTTCTGGTACTGTTTAGAACAATTTTTCTTAAGAGTGTAGGCAATTTAGAAGAATTCCAAATCATCCGTCACAAGCGGCAAAGAAATAAATAAAAAGCCTTTAGTAAATTCATTGTGCTCACTTGGGAATCGAACCCACAGCCTTGGAGATGTTAGTTGTTAATGCAATGCTTTACCAGCTGAGCTACAAGAAAGAAAGGACCTTCTTTTCTAAAAACTTGTAAATGTTTTACCTACCATCAAATCAAAATTCAAAGAGCACAAGTGATAAATCTGCACCACACAAATCTGAAATCCAAAGTGACCTTTACTTTTCTGTCTCATTACCTGAAAATGTACCATTTGAACATCTGTCATGTAAAACTTGCATAACTTATGTCAAAACAATCACAGGCGATCTAGAAGCAGAGGGGAACCATCAGGGCCCTCTAGGCCCTCAGAGAGGGCCTAAACTATTGTAAAAACAATATTTACAAATTTTAAATATTTTTAAATGACACATTTTAAATATTATTTTTAATAAAACTATAAGCAATTCATAATTTGACAATCACCATCTAAATAAAATAAATACAATTAATGTGGAAATAAATTTGGATTAGCCTAAACTTGCATAACTTATGTCAAAACAATCACAGGCGATCTAGAAGCAGAGGGGAACCATCAGGGCCCTCTAGGCCCTCAGAGAGGGCCTAAACTATTGTAAAAACAATATTTACAAATTTTAAATATTTTTAAATGACACATTTTAAATATTATTTTTAATAAAACTATAAGCAATTCATAATTTGACAATCACCATCTAAATAAAATAAATACAATTAATGTGGAAATAAACTTGGATTAGCCTCTTGTTTCAAAGGTGGAATTGTCAAAAATGACTTTTAGAAGACGACACCGTAAGTTAGGCTGGCAGTTTGTTTTTCCCCCGACGAGGGTATAGGGCGAGAGGGCCAAGGTTCAAGACTCACAGTTCGCTGTCTAGAAGAATTCAAATTGTCCACTGAAAACGCCAAAGAAAGAAATAAAAAGCTTTCAGTATATTTACTGTGCTCCTTGAGAATCGAACCCATGACCGTGCCATTGTTATCGTTATATTATCACAATGCTTTATCAGTTGAGCTACAAGAAAGAAAGAAACTTGTCTAAAAACTGATAACTATTTTACCTGCCATCAAATGTAATGACGTGAGGGTCAGTTAGGGAGTAACAGGTCGCCGTTGGAACATCTTGAACTGTAATCTGCAATCAGAAAAAAAAAAATTACAAATTGGTAATGAATCATCATACTGGCAGCTATTTGCACTGCAAATGTATCTTTTGCTTAGAAAAATGACTTACAAAAAGCAGCGCCGCCATCTCAGGGAATCAACATAGCATTGCTAAGCCCTCAAAACATTCTCAATTTAGACGCCATTGATGGGGATAATAATTGCGGAACTATGCCGGCTCTAGCCTAATTATAATGCAGAAGAGTACAGTCTCTTCCCATTATTAAAGGGCACTGAGCGGCTTTCATGTTTACAGACAACACAGATGGTGGTCTGGGGCCAGCGGTGACACATTATTTAAGAAGACTGGCGGTTTATGTGTGTTTATGTTCCTTTCCTTCTGAATTACCACATTCTTGTCTGTCCTTTCGGTGTCTACCTTATTAGGGGCTCTTTCTTCCTTTCAGCAGGGGTCAATTATGAGAGCTGTAAGACCGAGTCACAGTATACTTCAAATTTTCAACCCCGTTTCAAAAAAAATTAAAGTGCTAAAAAAAATTCTGTCAAATGGTCTGAAAAGATTTTATACGAGCTGTTTTATTTTCTATTTATTTTATATCAGGTTTTCAAGCAAACAAATAAATAAAAGGAAAAAGAAAGAGACAAACTAAAAGAAAAGTCAAAAAAAAATAAAAATTCTATACGAGTCATATTTTGTATGTATTTTATATAAGGTTTTCTATTTTTCAACCCCGTAACAAAAAAAAAACTTTTTCCCCCAACTCTGTTACAAAAATGTGTAGTAGTAAAAGTAATAGTCTAATAACCTGGATTTATGTGACTTTATTTTCTTAAATAAAATAGAAATGCTTAATCAAAATTTAAATGTAATATAAAATAAATAAATAGTAACAGGGTTGCAAATGTAGCCTAAATGAAGCTATACTCTAGCTAATAAGTTAATAAACTTATTTTCCCATAAATTACTGAACAGAAATATTTGATTGATAATTTCCTAATTTTTGCTGGATAATTTTTTTTCTTACTTGGTAATAGGGTTGCATATTTGACTAATGCAGTAATCACAACATAATTTGTAAAAATTGTGACAATTTACTAACATCCCACCTTGATGTAGAAATGGTCCAAATTATGATACATCTTGGGTTCTTCCTTATAAAAATGTTTTACTTGTTTTAAGTGTGAAAACTATGGTAACAGTGTTGTTTGCAACCTTAGACTATTATCTCCTACTGTACCTTTAAGACTTCTACGTGCAAATAAACTTTGTTATGATTGGTTAATGTCAGTGTGCCACCAGGGCACACTATAGTTCATCAGGGTGGGTCAAATTGTAAAAAGAGCAAGAAAAATTCCCCTTGAAAACATTACCAATGGAAACATATTTTAATCTCAAGCACTTCATTGTACTTAAGGCCATTTCAAAGAGCACTTATCAAATTACAGATATTAATTAAGTACAAAACCACTCAAGCAACTAATATTAAATCTGCATGCATGCTAAAGTTTGGCTAACCTTGAGCGCAGGAGGGCTGTAACCTCTCCAGAGACGAGGACTGCCTTTGGCGGGCTGAGTGGAAATAAAGCTGACCCGGTTCCCGTCCCGTGTGAAATCAGTAACAGCGGTGAGAGTCACGTTACCCTGAGCACAGACGTTGTTTCGACAGGGCTGAGACAGGAGCTCAACCGAGCAGGATGATAAGGCCACGTTTGAAACCTCCATGACTACATTGTCTGAGACATTCGGACAGAGATTATCAGATACATCCTTAAATGAATGGGAAAAAAAACTCAAAGACAAAATGTTCTTGAAAGGAAAAGGACTATTCATGCACATGCAGTCACATTCAAAGCCTTTCACTTAAGCTACATAAAGCTTAAATCATGACAAGATAAGAAAGACATTTTATGAACACAAATACACATTTGTATTCGTATTCAATAAGAAGAAGAAGAAGAAAACCACAAAACAAAAATAAATCAATACATAATAAAAAAAAAAAACACTGATAAAAAAAAGCGATCAGAGCGCTTGAGCTGGCAAATAAAAAAAAAACATGAATGTAAAAACTGTAAAATAAAATAAAAATGTAGAAATAAAAAGAATAAAAACATGTTTAAAAATAGTAAACAACAATAATAATAAAATACTTCCTTCAGAATTGTTTTTCACCGAAGCAATCGCTTTTCATCGCACTTGAGTTGGCAAATCCAAAAACGATATGAATATATGAAAACTAAAAAACTACTAAAAAAAAAAAAAAATTTTTTTTTTTGAAACAAC